CTTGGCCCCTGTTGCTTACCTGTGTATATGTTCCGCTTGTCGGCCTAGGATGGGCTGTACTTGTGGGTGCTGTTTGGTTTAGCGGTCCGAGGCTTCCTTTGCCCTCGTCTTCCCCTTCCCCCGACGAGCCTAGTTTAAAGCCTGCTGGAGGAGATCCGCCAACCTAGAAGAGAACGCATGCTTACCTTTAGGGGAAAGGTGGAACCCGTCCCATCCAAGCATGTCTTGTCGTGATGTGCGGGTCATTGTCAAGGAAGCCAAAGCCCGCCTCAAGACACCATTCCCGAAGCCACCAGTTGGTCTCTGCGATGCACGTCTCATGCCGTCTTCCACGTCTAGTTCTGTTAGTCCCAGTTACACTGTGGAGATCCTCATGTAGTGAGTGACCCTTGGTGGCTTATGAAATCTACCTCCCTTCCCTCTGAAAGGAAGGAAACCATTTTAGATTAATAAAACTCTGTAATATGAAGTGTAAGCTTGTTATGTGACTTTATAAATGGCTCTTTTGACATGAGTAGGTATATTTAATGAGTTTTTTAATCTCGCCTTTTATTCCTATATTGGGCCTGGTTCCCTTCTTATTCTGTGTGCAAGAAAAAACCCCCCCAAGCATACAGTCTAAATGAAAATGCCTAGTCCTCTACATATGCCTCAAACTGTCAGCACAAGTGAAAGTTCTTTGGTGTCTTCCTCCTCTTCATTGTTTAGCGGTGGAAACTCTAGATGAGTCTGAGCCAGATCCTCGTTTCCTGGCCTTTTTGATATGCTTTTGTGTTCTCTTTTTCTTTAAAGGAGGCCCAAAAATCTGTTATAGAAGCAGATAGAAACAACGACCACCTTACATTATTAGACACTTATTTCTCTACAGGCTTCATTTTGAGAATCTTCAAGTGAGCTGAACGTGGTACAGAGGGTTAAGGGATTTGAGTGTGGTTATTAACTATTCCATTGATTTCCCAGTTGAATTAGAACTAATCACTTTACCCTATGTAACTTTTTTCCTAGCAATAAAACAGGAATAAGCATTTTAAAACATTTTGAAATCTATGCACCTAACTTAAGGAATTAATGCTCGTTGTTTTAGAACCTGTCCAAGAGCACTCAGCAGCACTATGAATTGAAAAATGTGTATCTTGCTTCATGTTATGTAATAAAAATATATTTTTGCTTCATCACTGCAGCTACACAGTCAGGTCAGATGTCTGGAGAAGGTAAAGCTGGTCCTCCAGGAGGTAGTTCACGTGCAGCATTTCCACCAACTAACAGAGGACGAGGCCGTTTTCCAGGTTCCATTCCAGGTGCGGACAGATTTCCTGGACCTGCAGGGCCAGGAGGACCACCGCCTCCTTTTCCAGGTAAAAATGCCAGAACACTTGCTTAATTTCTGGGTTGCTGCTTTCTTTTCTTTCTTGCATTGTGACAGTGCTGGTCTCAGAAAGAGGCCTGTACTTTTATTGAGATCCAGGGATTTGATTCAAGATGCTTTTTATATTGAACAGTGAATTTTAGTGAAAAACATGCTATACCTCTTCACTGGTGGTGAGCATACATCACTTGACATGAAATGCTTGTATCAAAGGCACTGGGACAGGTATAAATAACTGTGATTTACTAAGGATTAGTTTTTTTTACTTTTAATTTTTGAAAAATGTATTTAGTATGCCAGGAGGTATTTGCACTGGTTTTAAGGTAGATGCATTTTATCTTCGTATGGGCTTGACTTCTCTAAAGCATATCTTAAGTTGTTTTGATGGTGACTAACTAGGGACAGTGTGCATACTGCAGAACAACATGGGAGCAGCACCACAATAATAGCTCAAATGTTGAGAGTCCTGCAGTTTTATACCCCTTAAACTTGAGCTAATTCACTTATTCATTAGCTAGGTCAGGTTTAAAGCACCACTTAACTTGAGCTAGACACTTTTGTGGGTGGATAGGAATCAGGTCAGGGTAATGCATGGAGTTGTATCCTAAGCTAACACTACAGTGAAAACAAGCTCTTTGTGTGTGTGTTGTGGGGCAAGTGTAAAGCTCTTTAAACATTATTCTGTAGCAGAAGTAGTAGTCTGTGACCACTGAATTAAATGGGACTGTCAAAATGAAATAATACTAACTTAAGAACATAATTAGTTAATTTGGCTACAGATAGTAATTTTTCCTACCAGTATTTGTGGTTTTATGATTACTCTTCCATATTTTTCAAGGACTTTTGTGTTTTCTCTCTGTGAAAGATCTGCACTGATTTACAGGAGCTGGAAAAGGTTTCAGACTTTCTTGCTGTTATAGCTAACACCAGGTGACAGATTTACACATGATAATGTAACTTTTTTTAACATTAATGGTGTCCTTTCAGATATTAGTTAGTAGTCAAGTAACTGAAATTTGCTAGATGTTTATTTGCCTTTTTGAAGGTGAGAATATATGATGCTTGCGTACACGATAAGCTCTTTGGTGATTGAGGGAAGTCTTGGTTAAATGGTTCTAATTACAGAAATAACTTTGTATTTCCCCCCTTTTTTTCAGCTGGACAGAATCCACCGCGTCCACCCCTAGGTCCTCCTGGTCCACCAGGCCCTCCAGGTCCCCCTCCTCCTGGTCAGGTTCTTCCTCCTCCATTAGCTGGGCCTCCTAATCGCGGTGACCGTCCTCCTCCTCCAGTTCTGTTTCCTGGACAACCCTTTGGTCAACCTCCACTGGGGCCACTTCCTCCTGGACCTCCACCTCCCGTTCCAGGCTATGGCCCACCTCCAGGTCCACCGCCACCACAACAGGGTCCACCTCCTCCACCAGGCCCTTTTCCCCCTCGACCCCCTGGTCCTCTTGGGCCACCCCTGACACTTGCTCCTCCTCCACATCTTACTGGGCCACCTCCAAGTGGTCCCCCACCTGCACCACATGTGAATCCAGCTTTCTTCCCCCCACCTGCCAATAGTGGTATACCTACTTCAGACAGCCGTGGTCCACCACCAACAGATCCATATGGTCGACCTCCACCATATGACAGAGGTGACTATGGGCCACCTGGAAGGTGAGTGCTTTTTGTTTCATGTGCTTTGTGGCACATACATTGCTTATAGGAAGCACCACATTCTTTTACCTTTTATGCATCAGCTTTTTTGCTTTCTTCAGCAAAATATCTGTCAGAGGGTTTTGCTAGGACTTAGGAGTATTTTCAAATGCAGTATCAGTTTCCCCATTCTTCCCTCTTTGACTCCTACTTTTTTTTGTCTTCAGTATTCATAATCTTGCTTTTGCCACTGACCGTTTGCTCCCTCATGTTTTGTCTGCAAATATGCCTATCATTTCCTGTGCAAGAGATTGAAGTACATACTTCTGTCCCAGCTGCACTGCTAGGAAATCTGTATCTTCATCTTTGCTTCTTTTGACTGTTTGACAGCTGTCATCTTATGGCCTCCTGTGTCCAAGTTCTTCACACTCTAACCTGAGAAAAAATAATGTGTTTCTTACAAATACAGCACTGTGTTTTGTGAAGTACAGACAGTAAAAAGAATATGGAACTCCTCAAGCAACCCCACTGTTCCCCACACTTCAAGATTCAGTTGAAAGTCTCCTTGCATCAAAAACCTCCATGGACTTACTTCAGCTTCTGAGACTTTACCTTTCTCCCAGCTCCATCTGTTCATCTAGTACTGACCTTGCTATATAGTTGGGAGAAGAGTCTTTTCTTCAACTCATACCATCTGGAACAGCTCCCTTGATTCTCTTTGTCTCAACTTTCATATCTTTCAGATCTTATTTGAAACGTCTCTTCTTTTTATGTACCTGTTTTGTTTCTCCCTCCTCTTGCTGTTTTCTTATTTTCTGCTATTTTTGTGTTTATGCTCTGAAATATTTTGGGATAGTACCTAAGAAAGGCAGTACACAAACTAATATATATTTATCCATATGGATCATATGAGTTATGATGCTTCCAGTATGAGGAAGACATCCTGTCCTTTTAATATTAATTTTGTTTTTCTCTTTGTTGATTATATGGTTCTGGTTTTTCAGCTTATTGATCAAATTATAAAGTAAAATACATTATTTATAAATTTAATGTTCTTACAATAACTGTATAAAAACTAGAGCATTTGACATAATTGCCTTAAAATATAATGTTAATAAAACAGAGTCTCTTTTGATAGTCAATAGCTAGATTGTCCTCAAGTTGCTGGGTGGTGGGGGAGAAGGGGAAAACAAGGCAGAACCACTGCACTTACTGTCCAGTATTTTCATTAATCATGTCAAAACTACAATCCATAACTATTTAAATTGTCATTAATTATATATCATAGGCGTTTCACTGGAAATAACATGTCCATAAGAGAAAAATTACATATTCCATTCTATGGGAGGCACACGAAAAATAATACTCAAAACTCAGGGAGGTATGAATTTTTAGACATTTCCTCTTATGCTAAACTGGCTATAGGATCTTATTCCACTTCTTGCACTTAAGAGGATAGCATTGCTTATCGTTCTGCATTTTCTTTCTACCAGAAGAACTAACGCTGTTTTAGAAATATTATCCAGCAGTGAGCCAGTTTAACAGTGTCATTTTTTTCAGTCTCATTAACACCATCCTCCAGGTTTTCTGTATAATGCAGAAACTGGCTAATAGGAAACTACAAAATTGGAGGGAAAACTTGCTTATCTTCATTTTGTGTAGGTTAGTTTCTGTTTTTTGGAAACCAGATGTGGGTCATTTGTTAAAATTTTAACAGCATTTAGCACTGTACAGGGGTATTTTTGTGAAGTGTAAGCTTGATCCTTTCCTCATAGGATAGATACCATGTCAAAACAGTAAGTTAGAGTGCCCTGGAGTTTGACCAGAAAAACTAAAAGTAGGAGTAAAGGCTTGAAATGTTGATCAGAAAATGGAGCATTAATAGTGCTAGACAGTATTTGCTCTTTATCTGTTTCACAGTGTGAAAGTCCTGGTCAAACAGAGCAGGAGGCTGGGAGCCAGGAACTCATGAGTTCTAATTCCAGTTTTGATATAAACTCCATCTGTAACTTTGGGCAAGTTGCTTGACCCCCTTGCCTCAATTTTCCCATTCAGAAAATTAAACTTATACCTAAGTCCTAAGGGTGTTGTGTGTATTAACTAATATTTATAAAGCATTTTGGATACCCAAAGTATTCAAGTGTTTCTAAATATTCAATGTAAATAAATGGTTTTCACCCTTAGCATTGCATATTTTAGACTACAGGTTTTATACTGTAAAACAGTCTTTCAAAACCAATGAACAAAACAAGCCTGCTTTCTGTCCTGTTTGTCACTTTGCTTAAAGATGCAGATTTGAATTGTTGAGCACTGCAATGCTATCTTCAGAAGCTTTAGCTAACTGTTTTAAACTTCAGTTTTATTACTTGCAGAGAGATGGATGCTGCAAGAACACCCTTAAGTGAAGCAGAGTTTGAAGAAATCATGAACAGAAATAGGGCCATCTCAAGCAGTGCCATTTCAAGAGCTGTGTCAGATGCCAGTGCTGGTCAGTAAATCTTATTTAGTGTCCCTCCTATTTTACCCCACTTTAAGCAATTTCTAATTTTCCTATTTGGGACCCTGGAGATTTGAGGCCACCTTGAGGCCCCCCCCCCTTCATTATTATTATTATTATTTTTTAATGAGTGCTGGCCTTGCAGTAGGCACAGCTGATGGCTTGGGTGCATATCTAGATTTGCACAGCACTCCAAATTTGTGTGATTTGTCTTCTGGATAACAGATATAGACCATTTCTAATAGCTGGTCCATAGCAGTAGCTTTGTTGGTTCTTGCAGAAAAGAACAGTTGTTCAAAAGGGAAATAATTTTAAATGAGGCTTAATTACAATTTGAAATATTTTAATTCACTAATAGCCATCTGTGTTCTTCTTTGCAGGTGACTATGGAAGTGCTATAGAAACCTTAGTAACTGCAATTTCCTTAATTAAACAATCCAAAGTATCTGCTGATGATCGTTGTAAAGTACTTATTAGCTCTCTTCAGGATTGTCTTCATGGAATTGAGTCCAAGTCTTACGGATCTGGATCAAGGTAAAACTATCCTATTTCATCTATTAGCTGCAGTCCAAGCCAGCAAGATAAAAGGCAAAAGGGGGGGAATGTTTTTATTAATATCATTTTACAGATGAGGAACAGTGGAGCTCATCTTTGTTCCCAAGCACTGCATTTACATGTTTGCCCGGGATTGCAGCACATGGAGCTGAGTCAGAGTAGCCCTGGCCAACAGGGAGCCCAGGGGTCAGCCTGCCAATCTGGGGCAGATCTGACCCAGCTCAACTGGCGTCTATACACATGCAACAAAGGCGCTTTAACTTTAGTGCTTTATTTAAAGTGCCTTAGGTTAATGTGCTTTAAAAATGGATACATGTGCCATGGCTTCATGTGAAGTTCATGCTTTGTTGTAGTTCTGTGGAGTAGGCAGCAGGGGCACCAGACACTGCATAATTTAATTGCACTGTTGTGAGTGACATCTCCTTTGTTGTAAAGAAAACGTAAAGTAACAGAATAAAAATCCATTTGGTCAATCTTTATCATTTTTACAACACCCTCTGTGGAGGGAGAGGAGGGAGTGATGGATGTAGGCAGGGGGTGCACATGGCATGCTCTCCACTCTGCCATCTCAGTGACCCTATGTGCAGCTGTGCTAGAAGGGGAGGGCACATAGGAGATCCTGATGTGGGGGCAAGAGCCCCCCTACCCCATAGTCCAGAACTCCTAGGGATTTCTGCACCCGGGGATATAAGAGGGCTTCTCTGGTCTCCAGTCTACTTCCCAGATCCAAGGCAAGG